TCTTTACAAAAATCGAAATATTCAATTTTTTAATAATGATAAGCCTTCACATGTTATGTCAAAATATGTCAAAATGACACAACTACCAACAAAGTATTGAAAGGATAGTAAGAGAATGCAAATGGATTCCATGAAGTGCCAACTGCATATAATAACAAAAATGGACAGTGGAAGAGGAGTGAGATTGGGTGGTGAGGAACTACATTTGGGTCTGAGAACGTTATGATTGTTTTGGAGGGACATAACAGGGCATTATTTAAGTGTTACAAAAAACGACAAAGGAGGTTCCATGTTATGCTAAGGAAAATTAAAAAGTTTTTTGATGGCTAAGAAGATATAAAGGATTATAATGAAGTTTTTTAGGGAAACGGAATCTGAAGAGATGATAACAGAACCGAAAAAGGATATTACTAAAGGACGATAGTGAAAGAAAAATTAGATTTGGCGGGGGTTTGAAGGAAAATAGGCGTATGGCGATGAGCGGGCACTTCACTAATTTTTAAATTTTTAACTAGGCGTAACTTGATCTGAGGGTTATTGCCTATAGCAATAAATAGTTTCGGTCCTTGGAGCTGCTGCAACATTTTTTCCTCGTGTATTTATCGATATTTTATTATATACGGGCTTTTTTCCATACCCATATCATTGTTCCCCTATTTATCAAACTCCCATGGATTCTCCTTAACTACTATTTTATCTATAATTCTTCGATATTCTCAGTTGGAATCATTCTAGCCTTCTGCACTTTTGCTATTTGTAACTGCCGTGGCGAATGTTAGCTGAAAAGGCATTTATGACGACCAAAGCATGGTGGTAAATGATTCTAAGGGAGTTGAATAATACTAAATAAGCCTAAAGTGACGTTACTTCAGGAAGGTTTTTAACAGAGTCTGCAGAGGCTCTTTAAACAATACAGTTTTTGTATCAAAGCGTTTTAACACAGTAGCTCGAGATTTCTGAGGCAGCGAAATAGGTTATTGGTATTTTAGGGAACTGTAATAGGTTGCACGATTGAATTTTGCAATGTATTGTGGTGCCTTAGCGATGAACACAATGCAAGGGAATTTTGCATTATCACACCTTTATCAACCCTCTATCATTTTTATCATTTTGCAAATTTTTAATCATAATGTTATGCTCGGGAATAATTTCGGCATAAAAATTTAAAAACCTAATAAATTATTTTAAGGATCATATGAATTTATGCCAATTTTTTGTAGTAGTCTTAGGTTATACAATACTCTTTTAGAAAACGCAAGCTGAACTTACGACTAAGATTGAAGAATTGAAAAATGAAAACAGTATATTACAGAATGATAACTCGAAACTAAGAAAGGAAGCATCAGCCGTGCCCGATACCATCAATTCATTATTTAAAGTCAGTTTTTTTAAAGTACTTTTATAGAAAGTAGTTATTAGCTGGCTGTAAACTCGTAATGAAAAAAGAATATTATCTCATACCGTCCACGCATACTGTTAAGGGGGATAAAGGATTTTTTCCTCTGTAGGGATTGTAGTAGGTGCCGAGTTTCTACCTCGCAAGAAAAATCCAGCCAAAAATCCCGATTTTGCGGACTGACTTGTACTTCTGTCACTAAAGATCCTCCGGCAAAATTTATCTCAAGCTAACGAAGTGAGTTTAGCCAAAAATGGTCGACGCTCTTAGGAAAAAAAAGTGCATCATAATCAATCGGAATTAAATAAATTGATTATAAAATGATCGTATATTGATTAAAGAACTTACGAATTTCAGTGTGATCGATGTGATAAACTTTTTCTTCGAAGCAGTTTTTTATATGATCATATTCGGCGAAAACATAAAGACGATGGTTCTATTGAACTTCAAAGTAACGAAACAACAAATGCGTCCATTCATCGACATACATAATTTTTATTGTTTCTTGAATCTTTTAAAATATTATCAAATATATAAAGCGAGGTACTTACTGTTAATTTGTTTTAGCATTTTGTTTTTTTTCATTGTTTTTTCTAGTCTTTTTGGCGCATTTGATTTTATGAAATATTATTAGGTTTTTTGGCAATTTCGCAATTCTCGTAAATTTTTTGTTAGCTATTATGGACATTGATAACTTGAAATTATAGATAAATTAAATCATAGAATTATCTTTGTACAGATTAAAGATAGTTTATTATAATATGCAAACTATTTTTATTTTGGCAAAACATTTTTTAGATTTCAGTTGAGGGATAAGGGGCAGATTTTTTCGTTGGTGTGGTCATGCTGAAATCCTTTTTTTTTAATCATTTAAATAATTATGATAAAAATCGGCCAATATCTGGATCTATAGACCATTATAGATGTCTTAGAAAACTGCTAATTTATTCCTCTCATTACTTTTGACCAATGAGCCAAAATGATCTTTTAATTATCTTCAAGCGTTGGCATATCTCTTGCTATTTCTTTGAAAATCGTTATCTTATATAATAATTCTTCAAACTCTAGTGCGTCGTCTTGATACCAAACCAAACAAATCCATATAATCTACTCTCGACACCCTCAAATTCCGTTTATTATGTTTTCTAGTTTTTGCAATTATATTTTAGCAAATTGTAACTGCGGCTAAAAGCACATTGCGATTCTCGATGGAGTGTTAAGACGGTGAAAGTGGATTAGTGGCATTAAGCTAGATATGAGAGAGTAAATTAGTGGCATTAAGCTAGATATGAGAGAGATTACGGCAGTTTAAAAAGATGTCACCAATGCATTATGGTAAAATAGAGCAACGTGATTTTGGGAATATAGGGTATTTTGTTGCACTTGGGGAACTTTTCTATAAAATATGATGGGCACTGAGGGATATTAAGTGGTTTAGCACTAACAGTGGGATATAATGGAAGAACAACAGGATTTTGGTGGGATAGCTTCACAATATTGTACAACAGAATTTAAGGAAGCGCTAATATACTTGCTTCTAAAAGTGAATTCAAAGATTTTTTGGACTTACATGGGATCTAGGAGGAGCGCTATAGAGTTGGGATAATTTGGGATTTTGGAGGCGAATTAGATTCTAGAGATGGGAGAACAAAATTTGATAGAAGATAATGGTGAGAAGTGCGAGGAATGAGAATTCTGACAAAAAATGATAGATTTTAAATGAAATAGATGAGCTTTTTTCCCGGATGTACATCGATTAATACTGCAAATTTTTATTATTTTATACAGAAACTTCTGATTGAGCAAAAAAAGCACTTTATTCTGGCTCAGATAAAACAGGCTAGTTGAAATTAGATATTCATTTAGCATTAAATTGGTACTCTGATCCTCGAAAGAAATTTAAATTAAACCCATAAATTCACGATGAAACATTTATAAAAATTGGAACGAAATTGATGTAATATTTGATGTTATTTAAAAAGAAAATCCAAAAATATTTGTTCTTTTTAAAAAACATTTGTATTCATTTAATTTATTTTATTTATTATAAAGAAATTCGAAAAAAAATTATCACCAGATTCCCCAATCGTTTCGTTTTCTAAGATTGTTTCAAGCGGCAACCATAATTTTTACTTATAAGCCTTCAGATTCTTTCCACTCTTTCTCTACGGCAGCACGACGGCGAGATCGATCTCCAACAACTGTTTCCGTACTGTGAGTGCTCTCGCAGCTTAAATAATTTTATATAAATAACTATAACTTAATTTTTATTCTCTAAAAAATAATGAATAATTTGCAATCATTACAAATTTATATACACGCTTGTGGACGGTAATCATTAACCATCTTTTTTAATAAATTTGTTTTATTTATTATTTCGTGATACCCTATTAATTTTTTTAACTTCAAACTGCACTATATTGTAGCTTAGCATTGAAGGTGTAATAATTAAATCAACCGAGAAAGTTGATGATGCTTTCCCGCACCAGCAATATTGAGAGTTAAACAATTATCTGACGGGTGAAATTTGCGTGATTCAGTTGGCGAGCTTTCGTTTGATTCTGCAGCGCTTTGTTGTCTGAAAAGTACCATTTATTAATAAGGGAAATGAATGTAATTGATCTAATACAACGATAGACCGAAAAATTGTCGAAACTTGGATTCACTATGTATAACATATTTGTTGAAACTTTTCTGTAAATCACCTCCACTTTCTTTTTAAATTCACAATAAGTCTGGTTAGAAAATTAGTTTTTGGGTGGAAAAAATTAAATAATTCGACATAGCTCAAAAGCCCAAAAAACTGATATTGAATCTAAGCTATCAGCTTTCGATCAAAACTATACATAATCGTAAAAAGGAAAAACAGTGGAATAATAATCATGTGAATAATGTTAAGAATAATACGAGAATTTATCAAAGAAATATTTCGCTTTCATATCGTATTTTTTTCTTTTCAGTCCATTTATTTTATACTCTTTTCGAAGCAAACTACTAAATTCTCTTTTTTTTTAAGAGTCCTCACCATTACTGGTTAAGTTCGCTCCACTGGCTTGTTGGAGGCTTGTGGTTTACAGAAGGCGTAAGCTTAAGCCTAAGCTCGCACATTGGACAAATATGCCAGGGAGTCCCTTGGCGATAGAAATACAGATGAGTCGCCAGCATCACCCGCGTTTTTATACAGTTTTACTCCTGTGTGGAATCGAACCTCAGCGTCAGCGCTTCAAACTGAGCAACAACCCACTAAGCAATTCTATCTTCAAACCACTAAATTATATCAATTTGTAAGAATTTCCTTATCTGAATTGTGTTGAATGGCATTCTACAAAATTAAATGCTAATTCTAGTAATTTCGCTTGCTGTGCTGTTGTTATTCTTGCCAGGTAATTATCTAAATAGGAATACAGGTAGGTCGCCAGCACGATTCGGTTACCTTAAGACAGATCCACTGCTGCCGGATATATCAACCGAAAATCGTTTCCTTTCAACCACTTTCTTCAGTTTCACATAAAGGATTTAGTCAGGAACTAATTCTCTAAATGATTTTTTGAAAACTAGTAAACAAATAATGGCCTTGAATTATTCAATTAACACCAAAAAAAATTCACCTGCTTAGGACGATAGCTGGTAAAGCAATGTGATGACCATCTTCCTGCGCCTCGTTGAAATCGCTCAAAAACATTGATTTTGGTCTTGGCCGACTATTGCGAGGTGATCGATCGACAAAAACACGACTTGCATAATATGTCTGTGGTTCTTGTTTTATCTGACTGGTAGTAGTTTGCTGTGTTTTCTAAACAAATCACAGCTGACGAAAACAGCATAGAAAATTATGAGGAAAAATTAGAAAAAGCTTAACATGCCAGAATCATTACCGCGATTTCTGAATCACTACCAACGAAAACTATCAAAAACAATAACGATCACTACGAAAACTAACAAAAACAATAACGACAAACACTGTTGGAAAAAATATTATAGTAAAACTTGTTAAACTGTTCCACCAGGAAAATGAAACAGTTTCATTCTAACACCTAATTTAAGATAAGTCTTCTAGAATGTTAAGAAAATAAATTGACATAAATTGACCGTAATGAATAAATCTTGATGAGATATGTAACCTTTGGAACTTTATTTGATATTTTTGTTTTACATAACTAAACCGAGCAAAATACTGACTTGCGAATTTCTGACACGAAGATTTGGCGAACCGTTTTGAATTGGCGGAATTTCATTCAAAATTCTTGACTGAGAAAGTGGAGATCTATTAACAAAGTGAGATATGCTAACTGCTTGGTCTCTAGCAGCGGAACGAGAAGAATTCACATGACGTGCAAAATAACATGGTCGATTAATCTAAAAACAATTTGAACTTCTTAAAAAAATCTTTGAATTATGAGATTTTATTGGCTCAGTGCTAACAGTGCTTAGTCTTAAATTGGTACACTTAGGTACTATAATAAAACTACTGGGAAATTATCTCATAGCAAACTTTAGTGATGGAAAGGTGCTTCACCAACAAGTTGACACCGCTACCGCGCAATATGATATATACATATGTATAGGGGATAGAATGGCTCAGTGGGTTATTGCTTAATTGGGAGCGTCGATGCTAAGGTTTGATTCCTCGCAGGAGTAAACCTGTACAAAAATCAGGGTGATGCTGGCGACCTACCTGTATTTCTATCGCTAAGGAACTCCTTGGCATATTGCCAATGTAATAAGCCAGTGGAGTGAATTTAACCAGTTATGGTGAGGACTCTTAAAAAAAATATGTATATATATATATATATATAAACAGTATAGTCCATTTAAATGAAGAATTATTTTGCATACCATTCATTAAAAAAATCTATTCCAAATTACAGATAACCTATTACGATTAAATGACATTCAAAAGACTTTTTAGTAGTGCAACCGGTGATAATAAAAGATGAAAAAAAATGGATAGAGTAAATGGATAAAAAATGGATAAAAATTAGGGACGAAAATCTCCTTTTTGTTATAAGAACACACATAGGGTTACTGATTAGGCTGATAAGACTACAAAGCTTTCGATTGGATGTCATCATTGCGGCAGATGAAGTTGAATCAAGTAACAGAATCCAGAATCTTTTTTTCATCGTCTAAATTTATATATAAATGGATCCCTCAGACAAAGACCACTATTTCCTTAATAAATCTGGTGAACCCCCTTTGCCTCTAATGCTCTCATCAAATTTCTTATATACTTCCACCGTAAAGGGGGATGGAAACACAAATGATTAACGACTACACCAACTATAGTTTTAATGAGAAATTTTTCGGGATTTTGTTAGAGAATTTATGATCAATGAGAATAAATAATACCCATCTTGAAGCTTTTTAATTGAAGCAATCGTAAATTTATTACCTTAAGTGTTTCGGCTCTGGCAACTGTAACAGGCTTACGATGAAGTGGCGGTGGAGTAAGTTGCGCAAATGAAGTTGAGTCAAGTAAAGCGGGATCGTCATCAGAACTATTTGTGCACGCGGAAGCTGTGTGTTCATAATTCATCACACTGGGTTTCTGTCTGAGACAACGAAGTGCAGTTGTACTTTCAATTGCTGTTGCCTATAAGTTAAAATCTTAGTATATATATACATATATATATATATATAAATTTCAAGACTGCAAAGATCTACTAGAATTGCCACTTGTGGTTGTCATTAAAATAGATCCTTTAATATTATAATAGACAGTTCACTGAATAGAAGATAAAAGTACCACGATGCGTTGATTTTCATCTTGTAGTGTAATGCTGTATTCTGGTCTTTTGCACATCTCTCCAAGTGAAATTTTACGGTATGCGCCATAAGACATTGGAGAATGACTGCTAAATTTAAGAAATTCACAAGGTCCTTCTCAGCTCATAAAATTTTACGAAAAAAAATTACAAAATGAAAATTTTTATAAATTTCTACAAGTTTTCTAGGATTGTCAAACCTTCGATCGGATGACATCGATACACATCCAGAGTCCATACTTACTGATGAACGATGACTGACACAAGAACTCATCGGGCTCTCGCATCTTAGTTCATCCAATTTTGTCTAAAAACAATTTCGCATTATTTATCGCAAAATACTTATTTTAGCATATAAATCTTATTTTGGCACCAAAAATAAGATTTTTTGAAATTTCTTTGTCTATAAATTTTTTTCGATCGACTTTCTTCATCAATACTAAATTTTTTTAAAAACTAAATCGGCAATGGAAGTTAAAATGAAAATTTATTGAATGAAATTTTTTCATTTCAATTTTTTTGATATAATAATTAATCTCTTTGGCTTTCTTTGTATTAAAAAAATCGATAAAAACCAAATAAAGGTTTTGTTAGCCTTTTTACGCTTATCATATATATGATTATATGTTGATAAACATTATTATGACTGCCAAAGACAAAAATTAATTTTGAATAATTTGCTTATTTAATATCTCCATGAAATATATAATATTAGAAAGTTTTTGTTATAGATAAATCCGCCAGAAGAGGAAATAATCACCTAAATTATAAATTACCAAGGACAACTCGAGTAATTCTCTTAAGAAATAAAAATATACATCGATAAAAATGAATAAGTTTTCCTTCCCAAATGATAAATAATTTAATATTCGCTTAAATCGTGTATATTGCATGAGATTTTGATAATTATCATAAATTATTCTCAAATGACCCACGATTTCGATCATAAATTAATCTAATAAAATCACTTTGATCAAATTCCATGAAAGCAAATTCTTGCAAAATTCATATACCGTTTTTGACATAAATTAATATCCATTCCGAAAAGAATTAAAGAGAAAAAGAAAATTTGATAACAATTGATTAATTCATGTTTCATATCATGGACGAAAATCATTTTCAGACGGTTAGTAACGATAATCAAATGTCGATGCACTTTTACAGTTGTTCGACTAGAATGATCGTTCGAATCATCGAAATATAACTGGTAAATACCATTGAATAAACAAAGGATTCTAAATATTAGAGTATCAAAATGACACCGATCAGTCAGCGGTCATCGAATTGATGGTCATTTCAAAAAATGGGGTCATAGGTATACAACAGGATAGAAGTGCTTAATAAATTCGTTAAAATGGTACGAAATATGATTTGAACTTTTGATGCAGGTTTTAGACAATTTTTTTTCACGGAAAGATTTCGCGCAGATAAAGCAGATATTATATCGCAGATTTGAAGCCGGCTAATAATATATTTCCATAAGCCTATGATAATGTTAAATCGATGAATGCTGAATGGATTTAACCAATTTTTTCTCCGTTCTTAGCCCTATTTATTAAAATATAATGCATCTCTAATTTCCTATTTGCAAAGGAGAAGAGGTAACCTCCAAAAAAATTTCTCGATTCATTTCCTTTTCTCTTGATTTGTCCTCACTGTAACCTCTTTGTCCAGTTGAAGGCAGGTGAATACGGATTTCCTGCAAAGTAAGTAATTGTAAACGGAGATAAATTATCGTAATTAAAATATGTACTATAATAAAATTGGCATTATTGTTCAGCACCAAATCCATTGCCAGTATTTATTAATCAAAAGAATTTCATTTTAAAGGCCGATGAACTGAATTGAAAATCTGCGAGTTAGGAAAGAATTAAATCATTGCGCTAAATGCATCATGACAAAAAAATTTGTAAAGAATAACAAAAGTGGCGTAGATAAAAGATAAAAATGAACATTTTATTTTTTCTCTAACGGAAATGCATTTTAATGTTGTATTTTTGGTTAGATTCGCTTCGCTGGTTTATCGGTTAGACAAATTTTGCAAGAAAGTCACCTGGCGGTAATCACATGTGAGTCACCAGCATCAGATGGCTTTTTGAAAAGAAGGTCTAATTCTGCCGAGATTAGATTAACCTCATATAAGAGGAACAACTCACTTTCTTTCCATATATTTGCTAAATAAATTTTGCTATTTCTTAGAAGAATACTATGGGAGATAGAATGGCTCAGTGGATAGTTGCTCAATTGGGAGTGCCGATATTGAGGTTCGATCCCCCGCAGGAGTAAACCTGTACAAAAATCCGGGTGATGCTGGCGACTCACCTGTACTTCTATTGCCAAGGGACTCCCTGGCATATTGCCCAATGTAATAAGCCAGTGGAGTGAATTTAACCAGTAATGGTGAGGACTCTTAAAAAAAAAAAAAAAAAAAAAAAAGAAATCTACTGTAGGTGAAATTAAAATAGAGTTGCAAAATGAAAGGAAGAAGCTTACTAGAGATAAAAGATTACTACTAGGAAAATGACAAAAGACAGAAGACCTCCATGAGTTTTTGGTGTTTGCATCGAAGTGTCTCTAACTGCAATATTCCCTGCCTTGACGCTTCGAGTCTCTGCTTAATCCTATAGTCAGCATCAGTACTACCATATACGAATGATGAATGCGTATTTAAAATCGTATTTGAATCGCGAATATTCAACTTTTTGGAATTATCAGTGGGCACTTGTGTTTTTTGTCGAAGCACTGTACACAGTGGCATTGGATCTGGCAAAAACGATCATTTAGAACAAATCAACCGGACATGAACTTCTGAAAAATTCCCGTACAAATATAATGAGAATATAAATAAACACTTCGAAAAATCGCTAATCGTCTTTTTATAAATCGAAGAGTACTTTTATCATAAAATTTTTTCAGGACAAAGAGATAAGGTTAGTTAAAAAAACTAAAAGTACGATGATCCGCAAAGTCACTATAGACATCGTACTTTTTCAAAAATTTGAAATAATGGAAACGAATCGGAAACTATTCGGGAAAGCAATTCGTTCATTTAAAAAATTTATGGTGAAATTACGAATCGTTGAAAAAAGAATTTATGATAAAAATGATAAAAAAAATGATGCAAATAAATAATTTTGCTCACAAAATCAGCAAAAAAAAAATTGTAAAATATTTCGCATAAAATAAATTTCAAAAAATAAAACTTTAGAAAATATTATTCGTCGATAAATACTATTAATTCACTTACATATTATTTTCATCAAATTTTCTTGTTTTACGATGCTCATTCTATAAAAAATAATGCAAATAACTATTTATACTGATAACGATAAATGTAATAAATGTTTAATCCTTTGGCGTTTCACGTCGAAAAAATAAAATTTAATCTGACCTAAATGGGATTTCCTAAAAAATATCGGAAAATAACTTATTTTATCTTCAAATTTTGGTCTTTTTTAAATTTTTATAATTTTAAACTATATAAACTGCATAAAATAAAAAAGAAAGCTAAGAATAGACATAAGAAAAAATCGAATTAATAAATTCATGAACGAAAGAATGAAGAAAAATTCCTAGTAGAAAAATAAACGGATTAAGCAAAAAAGTAAAATGAACATTGGTATTCACAAAAAAGCGATATTTTACTTTGAATGGAAAAATTTAATAAAAACTTTGAAGTGAAAAAAAAATGAAAATTTCAATAGCCGTTTGTAAAAGCATTGAAAAATCTATTAGAATATATATTTAGTGTTAATTTCAAAAAATTTTTCGCATAAATCGAGAGAAGATATTATTAAACGTAGAAGATTCGGAAAGGGACGAAAACCTTAATGAGAAGTGCGAGCCGAAGGCCGATTGAGAAATGTTATATAGTTACGCTTTGCTCATCGATTCACCACTAGTTCAGCAGTAGGTGCATTTTGAATGAATGTTCACAGCGTTTTTTTGAATAGGAAAAAGTTTTTTTTTTAAAAATTTTTCTACTATCATTTGACAATTTTTCGAATTATTTTATTATATTTGTTATTTATTTGTTATTTTTTAACGATTTTATTAAGGCCACTGATTGTTAAAAATGTTTATTGCCTCGGGTTAACGGTGAGTAAAAATAATTTCTTTGCCTTTTCAAGAATATCGTTAAAAAATGAAAATTCGAGTGATTATTTCAGTAAATCTTTGATAAGATATGGATTTACTTAATAATGATGAGAATAGTGAATACTGAATGAGATTTTCGGCAATTAATCAGCACTAATTAGTAACCATTGGCAAAAGTTCTACTAAGCGACGATATGATTCAAGATACATAAATTTTTTACACCCCAAAAGCCTTAAGTATCCTATCGAGTAAATCACGTCAAGTATGCAAAGAATTTGGTTTTTACTAAATCAGAAACATCATTCTTCTTTGGCAAGAAGCTGTGATGATATCATTTCTGTGGATTTGATCTGCGAATTTCTCTCTAATTGGTTGGTATGGTGAATCTCTCTAACCTAACCGAAAGTGATAAGTATTTTCAAAAATAGAAAAATCCTTGAATCCTTGAATTGAGCGGTTCGTTTTTATATTTATCTTCTTTATCTTGAAATGTATATTTTTTATTGATTATTTTTGAATAAAATGACTGCTTTTAACTATAACCAAAACTTTATTACCAGATAGCATCGAAGAAACAAATTCTATGAAGTCAGAAAACAAGTCAATTTGACATATTTTGTAGTCTCTCGTGATAAGTATTCATACCGCTACTGATAATTACAGATTATTCTTCTTATCCTCTTTAAGTAAATATTTATTTAGTAGATATATATTTTGAATTAAATTACCTAAATCCCTCACTTTATGCTGGACCAGATAACTTCTCCCAGATATTACACATAAATATGCAGTCTCTCTCTAATATTCGCTTTATACATGTTTATGAAAATATTTTGAACACTTCCTTGAACCATAAAATTTAGAAATTGCCCTCCAATCTTCAAGAATGATGCAGATCAAATCCATCTAATTATCGACCCATTTGTAACAAATTATTTAACTAATACCTTGATATTGATAAACCGATCGACTAATAAATAGACTGATCAGATTATTTCTGCACATCTCTATTTAGTTAAGGCTTTTGACGCGATATCACGTCGTAAATTTCTATTAATTATCAATGATATAAATATGATATGCTATTTAAGTGTTTAATAATTTTAGTAATTATCAAGCAATTCGTATTAAAATCTCTGTTTTCGATTATTTCTTGATTAAATCGGTTGCTTCTGAAGATTGCCAATTTGAATAGTAATTACATGTTAACAAATCAACTTATCAACTGCAAAGAAATGCAAGATTTTAGATATTAATTCATTATCCCCTAATCCACTGACTCTATCTATCTGTTAATAATGCAAGCCTAACTCGTATCTATGATATCTCGTCTCTAATATCTTTAGAGCGTGATTCAATTTAAAAACATGAATTAACTTGCAATCAACAGTGGAATTATTAAAAGACCTAAAAATTCTAAAGTTAATATCAAAAATAAATTACTTAAACAATTGATTTTCATCACGTTTATTTCATTTTCTATACAAAAATTTTAATGTTTTCCCTTATTTTCGTATGGTTATTGCCCAGTAACATACTGCATTCTTTTCGATAAAAGATTTTGTTGATATTGCTGAAAGATGAAAAGGTTTTGTGTGGAAATCGAAAAAGAAATATTTTGAAGCGAAAATAAAAGCATGTTGAAATGATATTCCCGAAAAAGTGATAAGGATGACAGGGATGATATTTTTTACATTTATCATCAAAGAAAATCTGTTTGAAAAATTTGGTGCCAAGTTAATCAGTCTGTGTTGCGGGTACTCATGTAGGTTTAAATATTTTATTTGTAAAAAAAGTTTACAAAAATACTAATGACTAAATAAATAAAATAAATTTTGAGCATTATGGATTTCTATAATAGTTAATGTTGTATTAAACAAAAGTGGATGGATTGAAACGATGGCAGATACAATTGAAATTGAATCTTTATGAATCTTACTAGAAAAAAGGTTTTCAGCATAAGTATGCCACTTTTCCCTTATTTAACAATTTTTTAAATGATAATTTTCTTGAATTATGCTTTTGCGCTAGAACTTTGTCCTATTCCAATTATGTCAAAGAAGCATCACATTAAGCAAGAATCATTTTCAAAGCCAACATATTGAGTGAAGAGAAATTTTTGGACAAATTCAAAAAATATTATTTAGATTATAAATATTATTTTATTATTTATTTTATTATTTATTTTATTATTATTTTATTATTATTTTCTGATAATTTCAGCAATATTCCACTTTATTAAATTAAATAAATTAATTTAGATAAGATGACAAGGCATTAAATCAAAGCAACCTTGCTAAAAAATTATCAGCTCGTTGTATTGAATATTTTCCATTGTTAATACAGCAATCTTCATATCCTAATTTTACAAAAGAATTTGAGGTAGGCTGCCCCGTGTGTCACAAGAATGTTTTCTTAATAATTAATTAGATATTTCATATGTGCTAATAGAAATAGGAAACCAATGAGTACGTAATTTTGTCTACGTTAAAATAAATTGAACAATTGGGTTTTTTGTCGCAAATGTTTGCCTATATTTTTTGCAGATAAAATTTAGTTATTAAGATCTTTCTAAAATTATAATTATAAAATCTCTAAAATCACAAATACGTCGAATTGGTCGTAATAGAATCACAGAACTTCCTTTTATTTCATCGTTTCATGCATTACATCATTCCAGCTTTTTGTAAATTCTTCTGTATTATGGTATCGATAACACTTGTGATAACCAATTGCACTTGGTTTGTATCTGTTGCACATGTTTCATGCATATATATTGTTTTTTTATCCGGATTTTGATTAAGTTCACTGAATTTTAGCTTAATATAACTGATTGCCTCATCATAATTTTGCCCTCCTAAAATAGAATTATTTTGATAAATGCGACAATAAAGAAATTCATTATGAAATTATTATTAATGTAATAACTGTGCACCTAATGGAAATAATATTTCTCATGCAAAAACAGCAAAAAATTTTTTTATTTCCTTATTAAATGAATAAGCCTACCTTCGTAATCTGGAAAAGCGGTCGTTATATTGACACGCTGAATTTTTTCACTAAACAGATCCTTTTTATTAAGAAATAAAATCATAGCTGTCGCCAGAAACCAAGTACTATTACAAATTGATGAAAATAATTGCATGGACTCAATCATGCGATTCTAAAAGAATCTTTTAGAGTAAATAAGTAAGTAAATAATTAGATTATTTAAACGTTGTTATGATTGAAGTTCTTGGATGTTGAACAATAAATAAATTGCGGCGAAAGAACTCAATTTATATATATATATGAGACCATAGCAAAGCGTGGCCATTAACTTGGTCAAGCATCTGTAGATACCCACCGTTAAATCATGAACGGTGATCTATTTATAATGTGGTGTTCAATTGTTCTGCGAAAGATAAAATAGCCTGCTGAAGAAAAATGAAGCGACGAAGTAGCAGTTTCGCAAGTCTATTAACAATTTTAATATTTAAAGCGGAAAACTTTCGCAGGAGATTCAGATTTGGTCTCTTTCAAATACTTGTCGCTTTAATAATTTTCCATTTTACACATCCATGTAAAATGCTTACTGTTGTTTCATCTTCGAATAAAACTTGATCATATTCACTGACAGCAGTTATGAATATTATAGATTCGACATTATCGAAACAATGGATCCATTTCCGGCGCTCAGAGCGTTGACCGCCAACATCAAATACTCTGAATAATTCCATTTTAATTTTTTTCTTGGCTCTTAATTCATCTTTTAGTTATTTAGTGAAAATTAAAAATTTATTCTATCATATTCATATTCGTGGAAATCATTGATTAATTTATGAACAAATTAATTCGTAAGAATTACGAATTTAATTTCAACAATTAATCCTTTTTCAATTTATTCTAAAAAAGATAAACACGTTTAAAATACAGAAAAAAGAGAAAAATATTCACAAAATGCAAAAATATTATTAAAAGAGTATTATTTTACCAAAAATAAAAGAGTATTACCGAAACTATTATTCAAGAAATAAAAACAATTTAGCAAGCTAGGAAATAACTTTCAAAACTTAAAACTTAAGAGTTGAATAGAATCTGAATTTCGGCCAAGTTAAAATGCTGGATGGGTACAAGTAATAAAGAAAAAACAACTGCAATACAAAAATTGAATTAGTTTTTGATTTGGACCTAAAAATATTCATAAATATTCATATTTGGATTTTATCATGTTAGCAGAGATAAACTGATAAGTATTCAGCCAGAAAATAAAGCGCATTAATTAAATTTCTTGCTGAATCGCTTCTCATCAAATATATAAACAAATGGTTTTTACCTAAAATCAAGCTCCTTTATTTTGAATTTAACCTCAACAACGCCAGTAGTTGCGACTCGACTATACAAAATATCTTGCTCCGTGGGCCGATAACCAGGCTCATGTATTCGCATTACTGAATCGAGGAAGCTGAAATTATCAAATATCACATAAAAAGTTCGTTTAAAATCGATTTTCTTGATTTCATTATGAATTAACAGATTGGGCTTAAAAGAAAATGGAATGTGTTAGAAGATTAAAACAAAAGATTAAAGAAAGGTTTTGAATCGTTTCATTTTAGAATTTTTTTTGAAATTTTTTTTTGTGCTGTGGTACTAAAACAGATTACTATTGAACGATATACCTTTTTCCCCTCAAGTTTTCCAAGATTATTAATGGAGAAAAAAATTCGCACAGTTCCAGATTCTGTGAAAGCAAATGCTAACAAATTATATAAGTGAAGGCTATTGTTTTTAAAATCAGAAAAATATAATTATAATTATGAGTAATGAATGATGCAACTTAAAAGAACTGGTGTTTCCCGCAGGAAATTTTTCTTATTATTATTTCTACTTAACTAATCAACCTTGGAAATATTTCACTTATTTCATATTGTTAATTTCTGGACATTTTTTTATTGTTTAGATGACTTTAAGTGCGATGCTCGAATGCTATGGTATGTTGATGTCGATTTATTAGTGCAAGAAGCCTCGTAGATTCGATAATCCCATTTCCCATTTCCTTGTCAGGAACAAATTTTTTCATTAAAAAATGAAATCTCTATAGCCGACTCACTTGTAATTCTACATGAAAACATCTCCCTGGTCGTACTTTTCTATTTTAGTGGTCAGTAAAAGCAGCCAAACCAGAAATTGAGAAATGAAATTATTAGGAATAAAGATCAATCTCTTTGCTTTAATAATGGCTATTTATAGTTAATTAACAATTATTTTCAAGACGTAAATCGATTTTTTAAAGATATTTTAAATCGTAGCGCAATTTCTATTTCTACTTCACGAGCTATCATTAGCTTCAATATGAAGTTTAACAATAAATCCTAATGAAATACTATTTGGCTGAATCGTTTAGCTGATATTCGCTGCGCATATCATAAGCTTTTTTGACTCCTTTATCATTCCACAAAGATACAATGGCTTTTGCAAGTTCATCGGTGAATGGTAATGATTCATCACCAGCCTCAATTACGCGATAAATTAATGCCTTATCAGTCTGAAAATACGAAAATATTTTATAAATAGCTAAGCTAAAATCGAGTTCCAAAAGCAAAGTTCAGACATTTCAAGAATTTCATCAAACAATCGAAATATTGAAATATTCGCAAATGAATGATCTCTTAACAAAGCCTTTTTTTGTTTGTTTATATAATTCAAATAACGAATATCTTCTTTATTTTTATGTTTCAAATGGAAAATAGATAAGATTTATTTATTTTTTATTTCTTATTTTATTTTATTTTTATTATTTTATTTCTTTTTATCAGATAGCAATATTCGTAATAAACTAATTTACGATCAGTTTTTGCGTAAGGTCGTGCTTTATGTTTCAATTCATATTGGTTTGTCTCTTCAATTTTTTTTTTGTCAAATTCTTATATGGAATCTGTGAAAAATTAGTTGTGAGTGCTGATGATTTGAATTTGAGTATTGCGTTTATTATGTTTCCGGAATATGAAAAGGGGAACAATGATTTCCACCATATAATTACGAGAAAAATCCTTCCAGAAATCTGTGGTTCAAAAACTTTTTAAAAAAAAAGGATTCGGCAAATTTAATACATTTTCAAAAACTTCGAAAATTTCTGGTGGCGTTGAAATCGTTGTTCCCATCTATACTAAGTATTTCCCTGGCAAAATCAATTTCGATAAACTAGTGAGGAGTGCATTAGTAAAAATCGTAAGCGTTCGTGGGAACAAAGAACAATATCATATGTTTGTCGTTAATAAGAAATATGCTTACGGAATTATTATAAAACGGCTGAATTAGATGGTCAAAATGAATGGATGAAAGCGCTGTTGAATAAGATTAGTAATTAAGGAAAAAGCATTATTGTTTGATAATATAGAAGAAAGAAACGAACAAGCGAACAATTAAATGGAACAAGCTAACCTCTTTTTCTGGATCTTCAAGAGTTATATGTAGAATATTATCCATTGCTCGTAAAATAGCACATATCGATGTAGTCGTATTATTATAAATTACAGCCTTTCGTTCATTAATTTCATCTTCAGTAAATCCATTACTGTGCAGTATCCTAAAATGATTGATCAGCTAATGATTGGCAGTATCTGGCAGCAACTCTCATTTTATCTGATTAATGTCGAAATGTGTAAAGCGTACTGTTTTAATACGAACACCAAATTCTAATTGGGCATAGAATGGCTCATTGGGTTATTGCCTTCATTTTGAAGCGCCGATCCTGACAAGAATAAATTTGCCACCAAAAAATTAAAAGGGTACTGGCTACTCATATATATATATATATATATACTTCTATCGCCAAGTTACTCGCGCTAGAGAACTTCGTCTGATCCGACAAACTAGTGAGTGAGTGAATCCAACCTAACTAATAGTGGTGAACGTACCTTAGAGAAAAAATTGAAGTCCACCACAATTTATTTGTATCTTAATTTGTGTTGTCAGTTTCGCATTAGTTGTTGTTACGAGAGAAAATAAATTCAATTTATATGTTCAAACTGTTAAATAAAGCCGAACATTAGCCGCTTTTGTCAAAAATCGTTTTTTGCTTTAAATAAGATACAAATTAAGGATTTCATCAGCCGAATTTGTCACTCTTTGTACGACGAACCTTGTTAATGAATCCATTCATAGGTTTTCACACAAAAAGCTGATTCTGATTTATGATTTACAAAGTAGGCTCACTTGCTGCTTGTCGAATTTAATTATTCTATGAGTAATGCATGAATTTCAAAATTTAATGAGAAAAAAATTTCAATATTTCAACAATGAAATACAAGAGAATTTTCTCAAGTTTCAAATAGTTATAATTATTATAAATGTGTTATAACAATATAAGCAATAAAACTGTTTTCGAAAATTTCACTGAATTCTCGAATCTTTTGGTTCGATATTAAAATCAACTAAGTTTTGCTCGCAGCATGCCAAAAAATTATTATTTCTACAAGGTTCTAAATATAGGCTAATTCTAAATTGAGATAAAATCTTACTGCATCTGCTTCAGTACTGTCGATTTACCACATTCACCGGCACCTAAAGAATTAAAAAATTATTTCAACTAATATTTAAGATGACCATATTCAATAAAAGTGGAAATGAAATATTTTTTTAAAATCGAAATAAAATTTTGGAAACTTTTTCATAAAATAGAGAAGTTTTTCTTCGATTCAACACCTATTGCCGTATATATTTCAGGACTTATCACCAATTAAAATTCCATACTTTTCCCAATTTTTAGGAAGAACATATTACTTAAAAAATTAAATTACTTAAAAATTAATTACTAAATAAAAACTGATAGAGAAATAAAATTTACGCAATTATGATCTTTTATGATCTTAAAGTTTAACGAGCTGAAATTTATCGATAATATAACGAAGATAAAGAGTCGATTATGAAAGAGCGGATTTTAGTGATATTTTAATAATATTGATTTCAATTTTTTTAAATTTTAAAAATTTTTAATATTTTAGTATTAGAGGTATTAGAGGTTTGGGTTTAGAAATTTTTCAGATCTTGGGAATTTGGTGATAGCTGCAAAGTGATTTTGATTTGATCGATAATTTGCAGATTCAGGGTTATCTATAGAAGGAAATTGACTTGTTTAGATTACGACAAGTAAATGAAATAATTTTTTGTGAAATGAAGCGAAATACCTAATAGAAGGAGCTTAACAATAGATGATCCTGCTCGCTTATCCTGATTTAACTGTTTCTCTATTTGCTTATTTCTTGCTAATTGATCTTGAGCCTCTTGACTCTGGCAAGAACCCATATCCAATTCCCATTGAATATTCAATCAATCTTGAGAAATATATGTTTTGTAACACAAACTGTAAATTGATATCCCTGAAGAACCAAATAAACTGAAGCTGTTTTGTGAATATCTAAAAATCTTTGCTTTTTTTATTCTCGGAATTTAGGAAAATTGTATTAAATTATAAACGAATGTTTGAGGCAATATATATATCAGACAAGCCAGTAATATATGTTTAATGAGAGGAACGAATAAAACAAATTAGATAGGTAAACTAATATAATTTTATATTTTCAGCACCTAAATCGCTGATCAAATATGTCTATAAAATATACTATTAACCATTTTTCATACATTTTTCATTATAAATATATGTAACAACATTCCTAATTATTATAATGCATATTGTTTAAATTTTACTAGTTTTTATGAATGGTTTCAAATCCTTTAAATCCGTTTAAATTTGCAGAGACATGGAGCTATAAAAATTATACTTCCTCAGTATTTGGTAAGCATTTTTCATTCATTGATAAGCCGGTGGTCGAATTTTTAATGAACCGTGCATATACTATATAAAGAATTTTTTAGGCTTTTGCCTTTTTTGCCTTTAGTTTTCTAAATTCAAAACATTGGATTAGGCAGATAGAAAAGATTTTTTAAAAAAAAACTATTTATTTTAAATTTTTAGTTTTTTTCATTCTATATTAAATAGTTTTTATAAGTTTTATAAGTTTTTATATTTTTTTATAGTAATTATATTTACTAGTTTTATGTATTTTTCACGCATCACAAATTCTATCAAAGCTTTTTTGCTTACGTAATTTTCAACCCAATTATCAAAGCTTACCTACTTGTTGAACTATGTTGAGAACTCAAACGAACTTCTCATTTTTACTCTTAATTACTTTCCGATTTTAAGGGCCTTGTTTATTCGTTTTTAGGAGTCTAGGAGTCTAAATGAACTTAAAAATTTCATCAATCAGTAGCTTTTATAATTTATAATTTATAATAAAAAATTATAAAAATAATTGTAAACAATCGAAATAATTAGAATATTATACTTACATCTGCGATTTTTTAATCCTAAATTAATCTTAAAAAAACATTCAAAAATGAATCGAGTTGAAAATGATCGATAAAATGCACTAAATGGGATAATTAGTAAAAGAATAATGAAGAAAAAATTACGACAAAATCGTATAAAGAATTTTTTGGATTGTCATTTCATAATATTTTTAGGTTGATTTTTTTCTATTCTATTTAAAACCAGCATATGGCTTCTCATCGTTTGCAATTTTATGAAAAGGAATTGATTTGCTTGATTTAAACTTATGCCTAAAAAACTTATGCATGGAATAAATTCTAAGCCATAGTTATGTTACTAATGCTAAAGAATTTAGGCATGCTTCGTGTAATGCGAAATGTCAACATAGATAAAGAATATTGTATTGCATCAACGATTGGTCAATTCATCAATCTTTGAAGAAAATCTGTCATCTTGGTAGTAATTTATTTCCAGACAATTTCCACAATCTACTTTTTCTTCTTCTAACAGCTCTCTCCATTACTGTTTAGGCTGGATCCGCTGCCTACGAGAATAAAACGTCCAAACTGTTCGATCCTATCAGCAGTATTTAAGAATCTATTTATTTTTTGCTTTCAGCATTTCACTTACTAACTAACATGGATAATATAATAGATAATCGAGAAGATATTCAATGATCTTTATAAAATTCAAAATAATTTTTATTAAAATTTCCAATAATCGTTGAAGAAATCACTAGAATTTTGAAATTCAAATATACTAAGTGATGCTAATTTTTTAATTTTTTAAATCGGATAATCAAGTGTTTTGATTGAAGTGTCTTGGATATTTTGGAATTCTTATGTGTAACACCATAATGTTTTTTTCTCTGCAATAAAGAATGAATGTAAAAGTAAGAATAATAAATATTAGCTGATCCAAGTGAGCATGAAAATCACTTTTATCAATACCCACTGAAAAGTCAAAATAATGGAAAGAAAATAATAGAAAAATAATAATTATTACAATAATATAAAGACAATAAGACAAATAGAATTTGAGAATTTTTGAAAAAAAATTAGTAAAGAACAAAAAGTTATTAAGAAAAAAGACCTCCAAATAACGAATACGATATATTTCGAATTCCATTATGCGAAGCGATAATGAGAAGAAAATTATATTCAAAATTATATCACCTATTGGCTGTACTCAGGTAGCTTATTATTTTGAAAATTTTTAATGAAAAAAATTATGCCCCATCGGTGATGCTTAACATTCCTTACTTAAACAAAAAACAACTTCGTAATTTCTTTCAGATTTCAGGTTCTTCACAATCCTTGACAGCAACGATACTTATATTATTGACTGATAAAAAAATTTGCTATCACAGCAAGTCGCAACGAAAGGCAAAAATGCCTATCAATCGGCTAATAACTCAGTTAGAAATAAATTCTGATTTTTCCGTGGTTTTTCATCACATAAGAACTTTCTGTGCTTATTCCTATTACTTTATATTGTTTTTGCTGCATATATTGCATAATTATTTGTAGTGGAAAATAAATTTTTAACCTATTTTATTAAAATCATCCTTGTTAATTTAAAAAAAAAATAGAATATCAGCAAATAATGTACTAAAAAATTTTTACCAAATTTAACAAATTTTATTAACAAGGATGATTTTAAGGAAGATATTAATAAATTTTGCCCTGAAATCTTAAAGCACTGAGAAATCATTATAATCATTATAATCGCGCATATTTCTTCGAATGTTTCGCAGTTTTTGAAATAAAGCAGTTCAATTTGTGAATGCAAAAATGGCAATAATAATAATTATAGCTGCAATTAATGATGATAATAATGGCAATTATAATTTTATCCCAATTGAATATATTGTAACATAATGCACTCGTAAATCTTAAATCATCGATCATAAATGAAATTTACTTTTCAGGATTCTTTGCACTTAGAAAATTTATTAGCAATTTACGCAAAGAGAAATATGAGATGATCAAAACTCAAATGAGGAATCAATTGATAAGTTTAACAAAGTTTTATTCATGGCTGCCCAAAATTAATTATCGCCAATTTGCTTATTTTATTTTAACCAAATTCACCATCTAACAGAGTTAAAGTCTGAACTTGATGAAAAGTGAAGAATAATTTTGTACATAAAAGCTACACGAGGAAATCTAAAAGGGATCTCAGCGATAATCTACGGAGTAAAAGAAATTGACCGAATAAGATGCAATAACTGCACACGATGAAATGTCTCGTAACCATAGAAATGTTGATAGGCTATGTACAACCCTTTTTAAAAGGTTTAATTTACCTGTGTTGTTTCCCAGTTTCAATTATGTTCTATTGAACAAAAAGCATGAATTTTAGCAAAAAAACTTTTGATAAACTTTTAAACTTATAAATTACCAATAGATAAATTTTCAGCTTTGACTTACCGTGTTGCATGAACCGATATTGCCAAGCCGCACACTTTTCTCTCACAACAAATGGAAAGCGGTTATGAAACGTTGATTACGGTGATTAAGTATTGCAAATTCTCTCAACATACTTTCACTTTGGCATATCTATTTTTTATCACTTTATCCAGGAAAATTTTTCTTTTATGTCATATAGCGATCATTGCGTCATAATTAATTTAACTTGTTAGTGGTGATTGTAATTAAAATTTTAATGAAATTTAGAGATTTCTGAAGATTTAAGACCTAAATACACCAAATACATCCAATGCACTAAAATTATAAGCCTAATTTCTAGTAAAACCAGAAATAATAAGAATTTGGTTACAACAAAATCAAATTGAAATTAAGGATAGAAATTTTTAAAATTAAAGATTAATTCAGTTAATTTAATTTCATTGTAGCCGTATTCACCGAAGAAATCAACAGCGTGGCCATAGGTAACGTTGAAATTAAATACATTTTCTGCTGAATATCGGCAAAATTCAATTTTGAAATAAAAATATTCATGGATAGAGCAACAAATATTACTGACTTTATCTAATATTTTAAATAATTCTATACGGCAGGCAGGTGAACAATAATCGATGAAATATATTACTCATTAATTTAAACAATTAAGTTTCTCCTTTTCCAGTCATTTTCAGTTTTTTCGTTTATTTTCTATGCTAAGGAACAGAATGATCCGATGGTACGAACCTTCAAGCACCAGTGGTTCCATTCACTTTAACTGGGGACAATAAACTCATTTTTTTAGAATGAAATCAAGATTGGTACTAGGGGCCTATTTGCATTCGCATTTTAACATAGCTCTCTTGCAAAGCTATCTCATCCAGTAAAACTAAAAGTAGTAAGTGCAATGCTGTTAGAAGAAAGAGAAAAATAAATGATGACCAAATTATAATTATTCTAATAACCAATTAATCAATTTTCTTGTGTAATTTTTAATTACATATTTTTTAAATAAAATTCAATTAGTTGAATTTAATGAAATAAAGGGATTTTGTTGTGCATTGCAATATCAATCGCTGCTTTTATGTTATTATTCGATTTTTATTTTTGTTATTCAGTTTTTCAAGTGAACAAATTAGGAAAATAAAGGAAAACTTTGAAAACATTCACATTTTCCACCAGAATAAACTGTTTTTAAAACTCTGATAAAATCGTTAGCGGGAAATTATCTTATATCTTCACCAGCTATCATTAATTATTCTACCTTCTCATCGCAAAAGATCAATAAGACTCCATTGATTATCATCTTTAACTTTCGTTATGCAATTGTTTCCATGCTTTCTTAATTTTCAATCTTATCGTTAATGATAACTGAAATCAGTGTACATCAATATATCATTGATATCACTGAGAAAAAAATTGAAACTTTAAAAATCGCTTTTTCCAGCAATTTCTTTCCTGTCATTGCAAATCGGTTTTATCACGGCTGATTAGGTTTGTTTTTACACTCATATATTTTGGTATATTTTTAGCTTATCTTAAATTAACTCTCAGTTAAAGCACGTTGT